CTGGGAAGCTTTTAAATACATATATTTATTATAATCCTTTTTAATTACGAAACGTCAAGGACGTTTGAAAAGCAATAAATTTGGGGTAATAATTTATTATATTGTCCTTCATTTGAGACAATTGTTCTGGTGGCATAGCAGTATTTATATTATATTCAGATTTTTAGTAAAAAATGCAATCTAAGCGTTTTTCAGAAAAGAAAAAAATATAACAAGCAAATTATAAAATGTAATTTTGTGTTTCTCGTCGTTTTATTGCTACGATATTGCTGAAAATATCTATGGGTTTATCTAACAATACAATTAACAACATTTTTGTATAAGTTTTTTATTTACAGCACAAATAAATTGTATTTTATATATTTCATGACAAATTTAACAAGTTGACTTTGAACATCTGATAACATTCTTTCAAATCTACACACACGTACTTCAAGTTGATAATACGATTGAAATTTTTCAGGTAGATGCGGACTTGTGCTGATAAATCTAGAATATTAAATAAATGATAACAGTCTACGCATGTTGAAAGCATTTTCGAAATGATGACATCGAGATATTAAAAAGTTTCAATGATTCTCAGAAGTTGGCGGCCTGATCTTTTCCCTGATTTATTAACACAGCTGAAAATAAACAAATACAATTGTTTTTAAATATCAATCTACATAATCATAATTTATATTTAACTTACTAGCATGGGAAGTCACTGTCTTTGTTACAAACTGATCCACCTGAGCACTTTCCTATGAATGAGTCAGTTTCAACATCTTCGTCAGCTGGACCAGGACACCTCCATGTACTCGGACATTTTTCGCGATAACATGGGAAGCATCCATGTTCAAAATTTTGATTGCATTTTGCTCCATCGGGACATTCAAATTCTATACCATTCAATTCGAATTTAGAAGTATTTGTAGCGACGCAATTAAAATTAAGGTTGCTGCATGCAACACTTGGTACTAAACACCTACAGTTTTAATTTATTAGTTAATTTATTATTTTTAACATTCAGTGTGTTGAGGACTTACGGTTCGCATTTGGTTGTAGCAGCTGGACCATCGTCTTTGGTGAGAACATATTGAGAATTACAGACTTTATCAGTCGGACACTTGTAGGTAAGTCCACCCCAGTCAAAACTACCGTCTTTGGTACAATTGAAAAATCTGTCGGCTTCGTCACATTTGTCCACGGCATTAGTACCCCAAGACGTAATGCAAATTAATGCAAACACGCAGAATGCTATAATATAATATGCGTTATAATATAATAAATATTTTATAAACGTAGGCTTACCTTTGAAAAACATGTTTATTAGAATGAAAAATGCTATCAAATTTCTGTTGAAATGAGAAAAAAACGCGTTTTTATATATAACTGCTTTGCATTATAAATTAAAGTAATAAACTTGTTTGTTTTTTACTTCAAATATTTGATAAGCATGAGTTTTGGTCTGATTCATTGCTAAATTTTTGTTTACTACATTACCATTAACATTAGCAACGTAGGAATAAACCTAAATTGAAAATTGTGTTTTGCAATTTTATATTAATTTACTACATTTGTTTAACCTTGCACACGCGTTCTAGAACTCAGCATGAAAAAATAAAATTAATCGGTTTTAGATATTCGTTAACATTTAACAAACTTGAATCAATTGATTCTGAAAACAAGGTTTTCTTTATGAATCAAATATGTGAGTTGCAAATCATTAGTATCAACAAAGTAGAATAATAACAATTACTTTTTATATTGGCTTTAATTCTAGACAACTCATGACATGGCTTGTCAAAATTTGTATTGAAATTTTATGGTAAAAGTCGGTCTTTTTCTTTATCGAAAAAAATAATAAATAGAAAAGTGAAATTTTGCGTGTCTTGTCGTTTGATTGCTAAAGTGTTCCTGAAAATTTCTATATACTCGTATTTATATAACAATATACTTGTGAACACTTTTTGATAATTGCTTTATTTACAATACAAATAAAAGGTATTTAATCTATTTTACATCACAATTTTAACAAATTCCTTTTAAACATCTTGATAATTTATCTGCAAGGCCATAATTTGAATGAATATAACCAAAAGTATTCAATAAACCGTACTTTCAAAATGGTGACATCAATATTTTAAAAAGTTTCAATAATTCTCAGAAGTTGACGTGCTGATCTTTTTCTTGATTTACTCACGCAGCTGTAAATACACAAATATAATTAATTTAAAGTACTTGTAACTTAATCAATATTGTCATATTAAACTTACTAGTCACATGGAGCAAATTTATCCGTTTTACAAACCGATCCATTCACGCACTTTCCTCGGAATGTGTCAGTTGTTACGTCGTCCTCACCAGGGCCACACGTCCATTTATTCTCGCATTTTGGGCGATAACACGGGAAACATCCGTGTTTGTAACCATCGTTGCATTTAAATCCATCAGGACATTCGAATTTGTCACCATTCAATTCGAATTTAGTTGAATTATTAGTATCGCATTTGAATTTATTGCCATTGCCACAAGCAACACTTGGGGGTACACACCTACGGTTTTAATTTATTAAAATTTTATATTTATTATAAGGGTCCTAGAAACTTACGGTTCGCATTTGGATGCTCTAGGTGCTACTCTATTAAGGAATTTTCGAATATTTCTACCGAGATTGGGGTCAGTAGTTGTTGTGGTTATAGGCTCTTCAGTATTTGAAGTTGTAGGAGTGGTTTCACTAGTTGTTGTGGTTGTAGGGGCTTCAGTAGTTGTTGTGGTTGGAGAGGCTTCAGTAGTTGTTGTGGTTGGAGAGGCTTCAGTAGTTGTAGTTGTAGGAGAGGTTTCAGAAGTGGTTGTGATTTCAGTAGTTGATGTGGTGGGAGTGGTTTCAGAAGTTGTTGTGCTTAGAGTGGTTTCAGTAGTTGTAGGTGAAGAAGAGGTTTCAGTAGTTGTTGAAGATAAAGTGGTTACAGTAGTTGTTGGGTTTGTAGCAGTTACAGTTGTTGTAGGCGTCATAGTGGTTGTAGTTTCATCTTTAGTGAGAATATACTTGGAATTACACACTCTATCACTGGGACACTTGATGGACAATCCACCCCACTCAAAGGAATTTATATCGTCATCTGAACATTTGAACCATTTTTCAGAATCCTCACATGTGTCAGCATCAGTTCCCCAAGACAAAAAGCAAATGAATGAAAACACGTAGAATGCTACAATAACGTCCGGTTTATTTTTATATATTTACATATTAATGCAATACTATAAGTACATTAAGTAAACTTACCTTTAAGAAACATGTTAATCAGAATTTTTTTGAATGTTTTAAATTGTTGCTGAAATGAGAAAAATCGCAGATTTATATATAACTGCTTTCAATTATAAATTGAAGTAATAAACTTATCGCATTCATTGTTAAATTTTTATTTGCTGGATTTGCATTAGCTCAAAGTTGGATTAAACCGACACATTTTAGAGATTTGTTTAATCTTCAACACACATTATAAAATTCTGCATTAAACAATAAAATTAGATCCCCAAGACAAAGCGAAAATTAATGAAAATACATAGAATTCTAAATTGACGTTCGCATTATTTTAATATACGAGTATTTACCTGGTAATACAATATAATACAGCTTAAAGAAGTTATCAAATTTTTGTTGAAACGATAGAAAACGCGCTTCTATATATAACTATATTGTATTATAAATTAAAGTAATAAACTTGTCTGTTTTCCTCTTCAAATGTTTGAAGAGAGTGAGTTTTGGTCATTTTCCTTGTAATTTTTAAATTAGTTCAAGGTAAGAAACAAAATTCAGCAAAATTGTGAATATTAATTTTATATTATATTTGCTTCATATTGCTCCCACGTTTGTGGAACACACAATAACAAATTAAAATTTGTTTAATTTAATCTAAAAATAACTATCAAACGTTTTATATATTTTTTTTTTATTCAATTGACAAATATTCAGTATTATATTTCAATTAGCAAACATCAGCATTTCTACACACTCGATTCGATTGCTTCTGGGAACAAGGTTTTGCTTGATAATCGATCCAAACTGGCGAGTACCTAACACATTGATAATAATATTTTGAATAAGGCGGACCACGTCTACACGGATTCGAAAGTCCGTTGCCGTCGTTACAATTTGGCGGAATTTCTTAAACAAAACAAAATTAGAAAATAAATTATCCAAACACATTTATATCATTCAAATAGTTACCGATTCTTAACGTTGTTGTACTAGGTTTTTGAGTAGATGGAGTAGTTATGGTTTCATCATTGATACAACTGTAAGAATAAATTAATAACATCTAATGGTAATAAGTAATTTTTTATTTCTAATTAAAATTAACAAACTTACGGCTTGCACCCTTGCTCAAAATTTTTGTTACATTTTTGGCTGCCTTCACAGACAAATAAGTTTTTACCAATTAATACTGTTTTGTCATCGACACAGGAATAAATATCAGAGCAGACGTGAACATTGTCAATACATCTAAAAGTATTATGAATACAGTTGATTACAAATATTAAAACTTAATGAGTAAAATAATCTTACGGTTGACAGGGTTCTATGTAAGCGAAATTACACACTTGGTTTGTGGCACATGTTAAATTCATTCCGAATGCAGTAGCATGAGACAAATCTTGAAGATCACATTTGTAGATGCCCTGCCACACCGGAGGACAGGGAATTCGTTCAAAAATCTCATCCGTTTGCTTTTGTACGCCAAGTATTGGGCGAGATAATAACAAAACAAAAGTAATTATAAAATAATTGAAATTACGAAAAACTGAAACGCGAGTATGAAGTAACATTGTCGCAGATTTTACATGTGCAAAAAAATGATCATTTTTATACCCTCACATCTGTTATTTTAATCCATCAAGGTTAGTTGTAGTTATAAAAAGGAGAAATTTAAAAGGATTATTTCAATAGCAGCGAAAGTGATAAAACAAAGTCTGTTTAAACATAAAATATTCTTGGAAATTTGAATAGATTAAAATTTATTACATTTTTAATGCATTTATTAACGGATTACGTTTATATTCTGATTATTGCAGTGTATACATTTTTCTAAGTACAAATTTCTTTGTTTTTCTTGCAGGTGCCGTCCAGGAATTGCCACAGACATTTTTTCTCTTCGTAATCAAAGTAGAATTTGCCGACTTTCTTGCAGGTATAATATTTTCGGCTGCCAATTGGTCCAGGTCTGCATGGATTGGAATGACCATGTCCATCATTGCAATTTGGTGGATCTAATTCAAAATATAAATAAAATATTTATGTTTGTATTTAATAAATAATATACTTACAAGTTATACCAGGGAATTTATCAACGCACCTATAAAGTAAAATAAGAAATTAATAAATAATAATAAAAACTAAAAAAAAAACAGTTAAAAACTTACATATCACAAGGATATTTGTAGTCCTTGTTGCATACTTTACGATCGCGACAGTTAATTGTTACTCCACTGACAGATACTTCAGTTTCCTTGTCAGGATTGCATTTCCATACTGGATCGCAGGTTTCTGCAATGCAACTAACAAAACAAACCAATATTTAAGTTTTTTCTTTCTTTGATTTTTTTTCATTTACTTACGGAGAGCAATCGTTCAAATATAATATATTACACTTTTGTCCCTCGTTGCAATTTACGGTAACATCATTGTTGCTAATTGTTACGGTGGCCTGGCCCATATTGGCAGGATCACAAGTGAACTGGCAAGTATCGGCATTCAATTCTACACAACTGAAATTTATAGATTAAGTAAATCAATTATTACACTATTAAACAGACATACGGGTTGCATTCATCTGTGTAATCTTGGTTGCATACTGTTCCAGGATTACATGTGCTATTGAGTCCTAGAATTTCATAATGTTCAGCATCGTGACAAGTCCAGGTTGGTTTACAGTCGTCTTTGCCAGCCGACGCCAATGCAAGCACGCAGGATATTGTCACAACGTAAAATAGCACTAAGAATAAAAATATTTAATTAAATTACAAATTAATTAAGATGTAAGTTAACTTACTTGTTTTAACTTGTTAAAGGACAATTTAAAACAAACTACTGGATAGTGCCAGGAAATATACCATTATATAACAATTAATTTTTTAAATATTTTAATACTGTAATAATACACTCATAAAACATGCTTATTTATTACCAAACAACATTATATAACTATATATCTTATCAAAGATTAAATTTATAGTGCGGATTATGCAAAAACTGGATAAACAAACAATGAGTTAGAGTTGGAATTATACGTGAACGTTAACAAACTTTGCATCAGAATTTATTACATCTTTTAAACACAAATATTAGCAACACTTCGGCATGAATCACTGGCAAGTCCAGTGCATAATTTAACATCAAAATCGAACACCATTCCGACACGTCTGCATTTGTAATAATATCCTGCACCTCGCGGGCCAGGACGACATCGATTGGTAGCACCATATCCATCATTACAATTAGGTGGATCTGAAAAATTAAAAAAATTAATCAAAAATTTTTTTACAATAAAATTTATTTACATTGTGCTGGTGGTTGAATTATTGCTGACCCATCAGTAATACAAGCTTCGCACGGAGCAACAAAATCTTTATTGCATACTTTTCCGGTGCCACATGAAAATGTAAAACCAAAAATAGTGACTACGTTTGGATTATTTGCATCACATGTCCAGAGTTTTGGACATATGCACCTAATAAATAGATTTTCATTAAAATCAAATAATTTGTGTGTTTTTTCACTTACGATTCACAAGTTGCATACAAACTGTTACAAATTTGACCAGTAGGGCACGTAAATGGTACCTGAACTTTTGTTGGAACAACCGTAATTATTCCTGTTGCAGGATTTTGTGGATCACAAGTGAATTTACACATAGCTGCACTTGGCACAACACAACTACAATAATAAAATGTAAAACGTAAAATTGTTAAAATTTGTTTAAAACATCTTACGGTGCGCATGTGTTATCATAGTCTGCATTACAAACCATTCCCGCTTGGCAAGTAAAAACAGATCCCAACATTTGATAGGTGTTAGAACTTAAGCATTGAAATGGCGGGATACATGATTGTTGACTAACCACGCTTGTAATTAACAAAATAATTACAAGACATTGACTATAGTTTTCTATTCTTGACGACAACATATTCACAATTAAGTATAATTGTTATTATAAAGGAAACACAGACTAATTTTGCTTTTATAGTGCTATATTCAGATAAGGATTAACAAAAACTTTAATATTTATTACAGCAATATTTTGACAGTTTGTTGAAACTATGCAAGACACAGATTTGCGATTCCACCACAAGTTGCATCTGCATATTGAGTTTTGCATAGTTTTACTTCGTAATCATATGAATTGGTGCCAATTGCTCTGCAATGATAGTAATAACCACCTTTTCTTGGTCCAGGACGGCATGGGTGGGTTGCACTGAAACCGTCATTGCAATTTGGGGGATCTGAAAGTAATTAATAGCCTGTTTTATTTTTTGTTATAAAAATGTAGAGAAATTTCTTACATTGAATTGGTGGTTCAACAGGTTTCGCTGTGGTAGTTGTCGTAGTTGTAGTGGTTGTGGTTACTCCATTAGAATTTTCAATGCATCTGTGAATTAATAAAAAATAAAAAATAAAATTTTTAATATTCTAATAATTAATTTGTACTTACAGTGAACAAGGAGGTTTATATAAATGGTTACAAATTTTATTGTTGGCACAAGTCAGTACAGCGTTACCTATAATCACTTCATTGGGATTTAGTGGATTACATTCGTATGTCTGTTCGCAGACGACTGGAATGCACGGTGAACAAGAGTTTAGGTACTCAGCATTACAAATTTGATCTGTTGGGCAAGTAAAAGGTTGATCTCCCTTTACATTGCTTACGTGTAGGGTTCCTGTCGTATCGGTAATACAAGAAAATTTACATACTTCTTTTCCTAGAGTGACACATCTAAATAAATATATTTAAATATTTTTCAGTTTATTTGGAAGAAACAATAAAAAAAATCAGTACTTACGGTGTACAATCAGTGGAAGTTTTACCATTATTGCATATTTGTCGAGGTGGACATGTGAAATTACTGCCTAATATTTCATAAGTGTAGAGATCAGATTCAAAACATTTGAATTGAGGGCTACAGGATGGTGGTTCGGCGATTGAAACTCCCACAATCAGTAAGAATAAAAATCCTTAATTATAAAATTAAAAAATTTTATATGAGAAACAAAAGTAGATAAATTATTTGGTTACTAACTTATTTTCATGTTTGTTAGATGAAGTTGAAGTTGCTAGGTGCAGCAATGTCAATGTTACTTGCACTTGCGACGCAAACAACTTCTATTTATTATGATGACATTACAGCATGAGTTTAATTTATTACGCGGGATTTAAATGTGTATCTAAGGTGAAATATAATTAGAAAGTGTAATCAAGTTTCTTTTTTTCAAAATCTCAGCTTAGTGATAATATAGTGAGAGTTATATTATGATATATTATGGTTCGTGGAATATAATCCAAAATCATTTAATGTAAAACACTTATTCAGAAGATATTTCCTATCAAAAAACCTTGTTAAAAATTCTCAAGCACCTCTCCTTGCTTATTTGATAGAGAATGGTCCGTAGATTAAGACCCTACGATTCGTTCCTTTCTATCTCTTTTAGTTTACGAGATATTCGCAATTGTAAAAAATCGACAAAATTTGAAAATTTTTAATTTTTAGCACTTTTAATCACATTTTTCACCCTTTTACCCTACTATATTTAATTATTTTATTTGCTAATCTGATAGAGAAATACCCAATCTTTAATTTTAAAGAAGTTTTCACTTCAAAAATGTGTGAAATCTTATCAAATCTATCTATGTCAGTATAAAATTAATATCTCTGATAATTTTGAGTACAAATAAGCTGTTTTCATCAAATAATTTAATACTTATTTTAGATTTTATGATTTATTATTTTATTTCATTACAATTATAAGCTGTAAACTTAAAATAATATAAAATTTCATTGACAAATCACAGGGTTTCTATAACACACATCTAAACACTTCCAAAAACACCGACGTCTTACATAAGTGTAACTATTTCCAATTCTAATACATTTATAATAATATCCACTGCCAGGTTCACCTGGTCTGCATGGATCTGACGATCCAAAACCATCATTACAATCCGGTCCAACTAAAAAATATATCACGATTAACCCATAAATAAAATCATAGATAAAATAAATTAAACATACGAATTCTTGGCTTTATTAAATCATTCGAGATGTTTGCGTCAATACACCTGAAAACATCAAAAATTAATCATTGACTCATCGAATGATGTAAAAGTAACTCATGACGTACGGATCGCATGAAATTGTTTTCTGTTCGTTGCAAATTTGAGAATTAGGGCACACTTGAATACTACCGTCGATAACATACAGACGTGGATTTGATAAACATTTAAAGGACGCCGGTTCGCAAGATAACGACTCGGTTGGAATTAAAATACTTGTCAATAAGATGACAAACGAAATGAAGTGCTGATATCTATACATGATGTTAAATTTGTTGCAACTATGGAATGTTATAAAACATCGGCATTAATATAGTTAATCTAGCTATGCATTTTTATTTAACACGCAAGTGTTGGAAAGTTTAGCGTTGTAAATCTTTGCTTATCAGGAAAATTTGACTTTCCTAGAAATGAAAAGCGGCAATAACATTGAAATGAGCGTAAATACGACGTAGATTGTTTTGATACAACATTGTAACACGTATTTATTCACTCTAATTAAAATAATAGATAAATATTTATTGTATGAAATACATTTATTTAAAGAAATGAATTTTTTGTTGCTTTTGGTCTATTACTTTATGTTTTTGCATGGCCTTCACAATATTTATTCATAATATTAAGTTTGATGACAGAACGCACATAGAACGATTGAGATAAAGAATACGTGGATATCTGAATTCTTACTGCAATATTTTAGTTCAAAAGTGCATACTAGCGACATCTATCGTTGCTTTTGAGGTAATACAGATAAAAGTGGATTGCAAACATTTGCAAGTTGTGTTAGTATCAACAGGTAAACATTGAGTTTAATATGAAACATGCAGGTATTAATGTATTAAGGTTAAAATTTACAGAGGAATTAGTTTCACTGTGTAATTGCGTGGACTATAACTCAATAGTACCAAGTAAGATGGCGCTAAGATGAACATATTTCATTAAATTCGCAGAAAATTTTCACAATTCAAGAAAAAATCAACATATATTCTGTGTCAAAGAAACAATCAAGTAATCAAATGTGCCAACATTAAAAAGACATATTTATTAAATAATATCTTGACGATGAGAAACACTAAATTTTATAGGGTGTATTCCGATTTATTGTGAATTAATGCACATTTTGTAAAGAGTTTCTTATAAAAAGATTTCTTCGACACCACTCGCTTGACTCTAGATATCATCGTCATCGCCGCCATCGTCATCACCACCACTCCCTTCGCCGCTTCCTTCGCCCCCAAGTTCATTGTTGTCATCATCATCGTCATTACCTTCGTTTACATCTTTAATGCACCTATGCACATTCAAAACAATATATTATATTTCTAGTCTGAATAAAAGTCTTATAATATTTAATGATAAGTTTAAAAATTTACGCACATTCCACAAGGTGCTGCATAATTCGCATTACAAGAAGATCCTGTTCCACACGAAAATTCATATCCATTAACCGTAAGTTTAACCTGGCCATCAGCAGTGCATGTATACGCATCTCTTGCACAGATGCAACTGTCAAAATATAAAAAAAATATTATAATTATATAAGCCGCACAAAATACTGCTTACACTTCACAGGACAGTTTTTCTTTATTGCAAACTTGTCCAGCACCACATTCAAAATTGATAGTATTGATTGTTACAAGTGACGTGTTTTTGCCACATGAATATTCGCAAATGTCGGAAGGAGCGAGGCAACTGCAAATATTATTTAAGAAATTAATATTAATAAATGTATATGTATAAAAAACAAACTCACGGTCGTGGTTTAGTCTCGCGATTCAGCAATTTATATCTATCATTGCAAATTGTGTTTTCCGGACAATTCAATGCTGTATTAAAGTATGTAACTGCATTTTTATTATTTTTATCGCAAGTAAAGTCTTCTTGTGCGCTAACTAAAGCTACACAAAAGACGAGAATTATTATTGGCCCACCTGCAGAAAATTAATATTAGTATACAATTATTTACTTAGAATTTACAAATTATACCCATATTTCTCTTTAGCATTGTGTTTAGCAATGTTTTATTGGACACACTGTCGCACATATATAGGTATGGAATAGCATAAAACTTAAACTTAACACTAATAACCTAAACTAGCTGCAATAAATTAATTGCCTGTGTTTAATCTGCGTACTAAATTTTCCAGGTATTAACAAAATTAAGAGAATTGCGCAATTGGTAACAGTGTTAAGCAAATACGCAAATTTTTTGTTAAATTAACAGAATTTAGTTGAACATCACATCATATTTATTTACTATATTATGCAAAAAATATTGTTTGTATAAATCATAGTTATAACTAAATGACAAATAAATCTATTCTTGTAATAAGTAAAAAAGTTTAATTTTTAATTTTAGTGATATTACATGTTACAATTTGATTAAGTTTTCAGTTATTGCAGAAAATAAAAGTATAAAAACAGTACAATATAAAGAAGTATAAAAATATTGCATAAAATTAAACATCAAATCATGTCAATCATATACTTTTATTAATTAAAATGAATTTACAGTTCTAAATTGTTTTATATTTCTCAAATAAGTACATATTTCGCAAACTAATGTTTAAATGATAATAAAATATTGTTGTGTGGTGTAGATAGTTTCACGTCTTGTTCAAGCATAATAAGACCTCTGGAAAATGCTTCTTTTGCGAGTTGCTGGAGGACATGAAATTTTATCTTTGCAGACACATCTATAACAACAAAATGTTCAATTAAAGCTGTGATTGTTAGAATTAAGTATTTTAATTGAATTGTACTTACGGAGTGCATGGTTGTTCGTTATGTTCGTTGCAAATGTGGTTCGCTGGGCAATCAACTCCATGAATGCCAATGAAAAACTTTAGAGGTTCGTCGTCTTTGCAAGAATATACGTCTTCAGCACATTTTTTCGGAACGCAACTATATAATAAAAAAAAATATAAACATTATAAATGTAAATATTTAAAATACTTACACATCACATGATGTTTTCTTGGCGTTGCATTCCGAGCCTGGATTACAGGAAAAGCTGATTGAATTTATAATGACATTGTCGTTGTTCTTCGCGTCGCAAGAGTAATCACAAATTGCGCTTGGTGCTACACATCTGCATATAAATGTTGAATAAAATTAATTTGTTTACCTATTTTTAATTACTAATTTTCATATTTTTACTTACGGCTTTGGTTTAGCACTACCAACTTTAACTTGTTTGCTGTTGCAGATAAGGCCATCAGGACACGGCAACAAATTATCATAAAAGTTAACAGTCTTTGTGTCTTCACATTCAAAGTCCTGAGCAGAAGACAGTGCCAAAGCACCAAGGATGAATACTGCAACACCTTAAAAAGTTTTATTTAATTAATTTACAATTGATGTATAACTGAAAATCAGTACTTTTCATTTTATCTTGCTGTGGCAAATACAAAGTTTTGTGAGATAGTAAACTGTTATATAGGGTATTTTATTTAAAAATGAAGTTTATGAGTGTTTGGAATGAAAGCGTTTTTAAACTTTAATACTACGAAGCTCTAAATCTAAGTGTTGTTTACTTTTTGACGTGCAAAATGTGCAAAGCATAAAATTTTAGTTTCAGGATTAAATTAAATTGCGCCGTCTCTGAATCTGTAGGTTTATGAGTTAAGTATTAATTTTTCAAACAACAATAATTTAAATATTCAGTTAGCAACACATAAACATAAAAAAAACATTAAAAAGATCAGATAAACTTAAAAGTTCAAAGAATAATCAAGAGACGTGTGGTATATTGCAATCTTATTTATTTAATTATTCAAATCCTAATGCAGAAGCCATTAATCAATTCATCAGTTTAGGTACTACAGTTTTTTTTTAACAAAGTCTGTATCTATTGCAAATATTATCATCTGGCCATGCACTACAAGAAATCCGCCTTGCTGCATAACTGCTAGTATTTACTTTGACACATTTGTAATAATATCCCTTTGGACCATATCTGCATGGACTGACACTGCCGGATGGATTATTACAATCAGGTATGGGGAAAGGTGTCGTTCCGGTAGTAGTCGGGGTGGTCACTTCCTTGGTAGTGGGCTTAGAAGGTTCAGTTGGCTTATTGGTATTACCTGTAGATGGAATGCAGCTGAAAATTTAATAAAAATTAAAACATTATACGATTTTCCTACCAATAAAATAAACTTTGATAGATTCTTACATTTTACAAGGAAACTCATAATTTTTATTGCAAACCTGATCATCACCACATGTTTTAGTAACTCCCATGATAACAAAAGATTTATCATCTAAACATTTATACTTGTCTGTATTAGTACATTTTTCCAAACACCTAAAATATTGCATTAATATCATAATTCCAAAGAAGAATGTTGTGTTTAGTTACATGTTTTTGCAAGAATCCTCTTTAGTATTACATATGGTGTTGGCAGGACACTCACTATATTCGCCACCCAAGATTATTTTATTCTCATTTCCATTACCACTTACACATTTGTAATCACACATATTTTTGATGGTATCACACCTAAAACAAATCTAATTTCAAATATGTTACACAGTAAAAATGTTTATTTATAATATACAAACGGCCATTGGAGTCATCATCGCAAAATTTTTCATTACACACTGTAGGGTCTCCATTAATTTTACCACAAGTTAAGCTAAGCCCATTGTACTGAACCTCTTTTTCATCGAGACATTTAAAATCGCATGCTGCATCTGCAGTATTCAAGCCTAGCCCGACAAGAAAACAGATCAAAAAAATATACACTGAAATTTAACATAAAAAAAATTAACTGAGAAATAAAGTTTTCATCAACTATCTTACTTGCCATGTTGCTGACATTTAATTAATTTTGGAGAAGAATTTCAACATTATATGTGCCAAAATTTATATTTACATAAAATAGCAAATACTCTGAAATTGTGGCGCAGTTTTATTGCTAGTTTTAATTGGATTTATTTTATTGTTACTAATTGTATTTTATTACTTTTGTTGCTATGAGATGTTAAAAAAAGATGTTACAAGATGTTTCGTGTAATAGTATATTAAGTGTCAAAGGGCTAATTGGGAATTTTGCGAGCGTTTAATCAATCGAGTGTTTAATAACGTTTAGCCACGTGATGAATTTTCCAAAATACCAAGAATTTCAAAGGATTATTAAAACACCTGTGATAAATTGCAATCTTATTTATTTATTTATTCCCATCAAAACGCCAAAGTTATTAATCAATTTATCATTTTAGGTACAGTTTCTTTTAGCAGAGTCTGTATCTATTGCAGATATTATCATAGGGCCATGCGGCACAAGAAATCCGCCTTGCAGCGTAACTGCTACTATTTACTTTGACACATTTGTAATAATATCCCTTTGGCCCATATCTGCATGGACTGACACTGCCGGATGGATTATTACAATTAGGTATGGGGAAAGCTGTGGTTCCAGTAGTAGTAGGGGTGGTCACTTCTTTGGGAGTAGTAGTTGGGGTTGTTACTTCTGGTGGAGGAGTTGTCGGAGTGGTTATTAGCTCTGTTGTAGTTGGAATGGTCTCCTTTTCTGTAGGAATCTCTTCTTTTTGAGTAGTTGGCTCTTCGGTAAGCTCTTCAGTAGGCTCTTCATTAGGCTCTTCAGTAGGCTTTTCATTAGGCTCTTCAGTATGCTCATCAGTAGGCTCTTCAGTAGGTTCTGCAGGTTCAGTTGGTTTACTGGTAGTACCTGATGGAATGCAGCTGAAAATTTAATAGAAATATAAAATTAAACTACAAATAAAAATTAAAAAATACTTACATATCACATGATTGCTCTAATTTTTGATTGCAGATTTGACCTTCACCACATGATAAAGTTATTCCACTTATTACAAAAGTTGTATCACTGATGCATTCATACTTGCCAGCATTAGTGCATGTCGTTATACACCTAAAATTTTTGATGTATTAATATCATATTTAAAAAATGTTCTTGTGTTTAGTTACATATTTTCACAAGAGTCCCCTTTAACGTTACATATGGTGTTGTCAGGACACTTATTTTCTGCGCCACCCACAATTATTTTATTCTCATTTCCTTCACCCTCAATACATTCATAATCACATACATTTTTGATGGTGTCACAGCTAAAACAAATCAATTGTAAGATGTGTTACATAAGATATTATTTGTTTAAAATATACAAAAGACCATTGGAGTCCTCATCGCAATAATTTTCATTACACACGGTTGATTCTTCACCAATTGTACCACAAGGAAAAGTCATGCCATTATATTTAAACTCTTTCTCAGAGACACATTCGAATTTGCAATCGGCATCTACAGCATTCAAGCCGAGCGCGACCAGAAGGAAAATCAAAGATGCATACACTAGAATATGAAATCAGAAAATAGATATGACATATCGTTTAAAATATCAATTATGAACTTACTTGTCATTGTGATAACATGTAATTAATTGTTGAGAAGAATTCCATCACTATATGTACCTTAATTTATATTTACATAAAATAGTAAAAAATGTGTTATTGTCATCCTGTTTTATTGCTAGTTTTAGTGGTATTAATTTTATTGTTACTAATCGCAATTTATGACTTTTGTTGCCATGAAATATTATAAAGATTTAGGTGTAAATATAAGTAAATAAAAGTTTCAAAATAGCAGCAATTACACTAAAGCACTATAATTGTCATAATTTTACGTTAAAATTTACTAAGTACTATTAAATTAAAGCAAAGTATATTTCGGTCTCGAAAGGATTTAACACATATAATCAAGGAAAACATAATAAAAATAAAAATAAATGTAAAATAGATTTGCTGCAATATTTATTTGGTAATAATCAAAGTACATTTCATTTGAATATTTCGAGACATAATTTCAAAGAATTAATACGAATTGGTTAGCCAACTATCGATGGAACTCTTGGCCCCAGAAGCTTCAATGCAACTATAAAAATAAAAATTAAAAATTTCGATTTGCTCAATCATAGAAAACATATTACAAATACGTACAAATTACAAGGTTGAATCTTTTCTGCATTGCACACCGTTTTACCGGGGCACTTAACTGTGATTCCATAGATTTTGACGGAATCGGTTCCAACACACTCATACATATCAGCATTGGCGCACTTTTCTGCCCTACACCTGTTAAAAAGAATAAAATAATTGACTAAATAAAAGTACTCATATGTCATAATGTGCTATAATTACATGTGTTTGCAAGAGTCCAATTCTGTATTACAGGTTGTATCTTTTGGACAGGTAGTCTGCATTCCTCCAATTTCTATAGTGCCTGGTTCATTTGGGTCTGGGCAAGTATAAGGACAAAGTTCTTCAATGGTAGCACACCTAAAGTGACATTAGTCAAAATTAAGTTTTTTTCAAAGTTTAAATACTGCATAATTTACATAGGAACTTTGTCAGCGATCTCCTTACACTCTTCATTGCATACTGTTGCTTTATCACCAACAGGTTTGCACTCCATAGTATTGCCAAAATATTTAAATGTAGTTTCATCAATACATTCAAAATTGCATTTTTTTGCTTCCGCCGCAATGGCCACCACCAACACCATACAAACAACGAAAAATTCTACAAGTTTAATTAATCGTATAAATAAATAAATATTATGTCAGCAACAGATAAACTTACGCTTCATATTGCTATCAGTGGAAAACCTTCACTAAAATCCTAGCAACCGAGCACATATTTATACAACAAACTCCTGACTAACAAGATTTAGCAAGATTTATAATTCCAGTGAAATAGTTTATAAATAGTGTAATGTAACGGATTAAACGCAACTATAAAGAGATAAGCATTTATTGTATTTAATTTATGACTGGAAAATGTTTAAATAATTAAATAATTTAAGTTTATTACGTAAATATGCATAAATAACCATTTTTACTGAGATTATTTACAAACGAAATCAAAAGAATATTCAGAACTTTTATATCAAATATTAATAAATGATGTCGTTAAACAGTAGCGCGCTGTGATAATAAAAACATCCATTTGAATAATTTGCTACATTTTTACGTAATAATAATTTACGACTGTTACCCTAATTACGCCTGAGCATATGTTGTCTGCCCGTCGGCGTAAAGTGGTAAAGTTCTCACATTTCGCATTCGCGCAAACCACAATTTTCTACCGAATGACTGGAAATACCGAACCGGTTGGCACTCGCACCGATTGTAACCAAAAATCGATGCGTGACTATTGCAATAAGCAATATCATTATCCGAAGACTCTTCCGAAGAGTGATGCGCATTAAGAAACAAAAAAGAATCCGAAATGCGAATTCGTTAATAAAAATAAAATCAAAGGAACCAGTCGAGTGGTGCTTAATCTTAACGACTTTTTGTGTACAATGGCCCGGGTGTGCATTATAACTCAATCGGATAATGCCGGTTTTTCGTTAAAATACGCGCTTTTGATGCGTTATTATTATAGATCATTGATAAGGAGGCTGTAATTTAGGCGGGCTATATTGATTGTATTATAGCCAGGCATTACAGCCAGCGTGCTCGTAAAGCGTGGAGGTTTAACTGTAAACTTGCGTTTTGTGCAAATCTAATAATGGCCTTCTCGTCAACCGGTCATCCACAATGAAATCAGATCTTCGGCTTGCGCTGCAGGGTGAAAGGCAAGATTCGTTCGATTAATTACTTCATTTTGCATGATACCTCATGTCTACACCTTGTTTTAAATTAAACTGTGTTTGATATCAATAGAAATTAATTACTTTTTTCATCACTGCGTAATTCGTAATTAATTGATTGTAAAACCAATTAATTATTTGTCAGCTTTTAATTACACTAATTCTAGATTTTCGGACACAGCCAATGTGCGGTGTTTTTGTAATTAAAGTGTGAAATATTTTTACGTGCGCCGTATACCAATACCTCCTCGACGCTTTTATAAATCTTGTTTTTACATCGCCAGACACCGACTTAATGGTTATTAATGGGCAGGCAGTGTCTTCACCGATGCAATTCGGTGTGAGTTCGACAGCCAAACTCCACCAACAAGTCATATCGCCAATTACAAGATGACACACCAAACAGTGCCACCGGTGGCTAATGAAAAAACGATGTCACGCACGAATAATGAGCGACGAGCTTACACCCGATGATTTTTGACGCTAATTCGCGTTTTCAGGTGTCGCTGGAATTTTAATGGCGAGTTATTTCGAATGCATTGTTTTCACATGTGCTGCAAGCCATTAAAACTGACATAAAAGGAATTTATGCGCTTAATTGCAATTCTTTGCAAGTGCTTTTTTCATTTATTATAATTTAACATCCTGTAGCTTTGAATTTAAATTGTGCAAATGACATTTTCATATGGCTTTTCCGATGCGCTGAAAAGCGACAATGTTTTGTTCGGATGCGCGCTGCACGTGTAACAACACATGTGAGAAAAACTGCGCGTGTACCTTAAAAGATTAACGCTTTGCAAAGTAAGACGCGCTTTAAGATGCGCACAGGTCTTCCTGGTGAGCGATTCGCAGAACGGCGAATAAAAATTCCCCGCGGAGTGCGAGGAATCTGTGAAAAAAATGCTTTCAAATGCGCATCAAGTGATTTACAAGGCGGCAAACGGCCTATTTCTGGTTTAGGTTTAGCTACTTTTATAGAATTCACCACCATAATAAGATTTACAAGAAAAAATGTATTTTTCTATACAGGGCATTAAATAAAATGATTTTTAATGATATTTTAGCACATGGAGCAATATATTTTAAAAGATTTAATTTTTTATTCTTGTTTCTCGTTTTTTATTGCTCTAAAATAGACACATTAACTGGTTTACGACTTGGAAATATTTGAGCAGTGTCAACGTGTTTCCAAAACATAATTATTAATTTATTTCGTGTTCTGCAAGTGAGTCTCGCCTTGACAGAACACTTGTCGTACATAACAACTTGAATGTTTATTATCCCATTAACAAGTTCGATCTTAATGTGTGACCAAGAGCTAAGACTAATCTTCGTGTTAGTTTGCGCAGTAATTTACAAATTTATAGATGCATAACCAATTATTTAAAAAACTAAGCACAAAAGGAGCATTAGGTTAATTAGATTTCGTCAAAAAATAAAAATATTTAAAATGCTTTACGTAAAAGATAGAAACTATTATCACCTGTGGATTTAGTGTTCACGTAAGTATAATGACAAAATGGATTCTTAATATACTACACCAGAGACGTGTTAGCCTGCTGGTTGGCTAATCAACGGAAAATGGAAAATCATCGCATATCGCCGCTTGCAGAGATAGCTAAATGCTTAAATGATGTTTGCTGTGTCTGCTGTAGGTAGGCGCAACGAGCGCTGCCCCGACAATGGGACAAAAACGAATGCAAATTTAATCGCCGCGCCGCGGACAATATGCAATAATTACGAACGGAGCGCGCGCACGTCACATATCCGCGAAAAGGGCCGGCGGCCGTGGTGCATTCGCAGATACGTTGGCGCGCGAGATTTATCTAATTGTTTTTAAATCGTCGATTTATTGCAACTATTTCCGCAAGCCGTTAGCAACGACACACGCGAAGAGGAATATTCAAAGAGTACGGTCACCGACTGGCGTTTAAAGCGCCTAAGTTTTGATCGTGTATGAATATTTTTTTGCAAGAATCGCGCACGTGAGCACATACGGGTTCTTGGTGTTCTTGCTTCTTGCGCGCTGGTAGGCAAATTGGTAAACGCGCCGACGCGACGCTTCATAATGAATTTGAATACTTAATTAGCAGCGCCCCGGTGCTGAACAGGTACAGCTAGCTTTTTGTAGGTGCATACGGGTGTTTGAATTAACAAAAAATAAGAATCAAGGCAGGTAAATGTGTGATCTAAATTGTAAAAGATGTGAGAGAGCATTTAAATGTCACTAAACTATTGTAACGTTGTAAATCGGTGTTAAATTTGTTCTAATTTAATTATTTCATTCAAGTGACATCTAAAACTCTTAAAAAATGTCAGATCATCATTACCTAAGCGTAATTTTATGTGCAACGGTAGTAATAATGCTTAAAAACAAAGAAAACACAGTAAAAATTCTAATTTCTCGATTTTCTGATTGAAACTGATGTAATTCCCACGAATAAAGTGTTTTTCTTTCAATAATCAACGTTAAAACATGATAATGTATGCAGATTGTTCATGTACTACAAAGACGACAACAAATAAATACAATTAACGTGAAAATCGTAAATTACTTAATTACATTCGACATTTTACCTCTTATTTTAGTAGAGTCACAGAAAAATATTACCATTGATTAAAAATGAGGAAATGGAGTAAATTGATGCAATTTTAACCTTGACATTGATAATGTAGATAATCTGGTGTCCAGTGTGTGGCTTGCGCTTGCTCTTCGCCGTTGCCAATGAATGCAACCAGAGAGAACCCCACCAAACTCTTCGGTGTTCTTTGCGCTATCGTTGGAAGGCCGCGAAGAACTCCGCGGCGCACCGTCGAGTACTCGCCGTTCGTGTGCACTTGCTCGCGGTAGCATCTTCAACATTCGTCCGCGTCTGCGCTTCCTACGCACTCCCAAACAGACTTAAGTCATATTTCATCCTAAAAGTGACTTAATTTATACTTAAATTTAAATCTAAAAAAGTGAAAATGCACTCGTTTGATAAAGACTTTCAATACTTTCTTAAAATCTAATTTAAAATGTGATTTTGTGCGTTGAGAACTAAAAACACGAACAAACAGTGCACAGCAAGTGGGTAATGACTTTATTCTTGGATCGTGCAACCGGTGACTTATTTGCTCAACGCGCCCAGACAACCTTGCAAGGTAACTACGCAAATTATTTATAACTTACACTAATTGTTGTTATCAGTGTCGATTTTGAGTTTAACTCGCGCGTAAATTTAAAATCTCATAAATCGCATTGATGTTAATAAAGTTGTTGTCGTTGTTAAACATTAACCGGGCAAATCGATACGATGGTAATAAAATTTCGCAGCCGGTTATGCACATAGCGAACATGACAAAGTAATAACCACTTGCCGCGCGTCAATTTCATCGTGCATCGTTAATCAACGCGCGACAATCATTCGCCAGCTAAAGTAATCAAAACGTTTTTTGCTTCCGTCCGCACGCTGATCTATGCACATCCATTATACGTTTATTGCAAACGTGCGTATAGGGAATATATTGATTAATCGATCATTTGATCGCGGTTGAATGACGCTGGAGAAGAATGAAAATGTTTGGATAATATTTATGTACCATCACAACAGAAATATTACCGATATTAATATTTCCGCAATAGAATAAATTAATTGCAAGTGCAAGTTCGTATTAGTTGCATAATCCGTGGAGGTTTAAATGTCTGCAAGGTTGTGGATTGCGACGCGACACAATAGATACTCATTTCGCGCTTTCGATGGTAATTATCGCGAAACGTATGTGAAATGATTGCATTTTTGCGCTGGCGATGTGAACACGCCACACATGCGTTCCGTCGACGGCTAATAATAACCCCAGTCAACAATCGGCGTGAATGTGAATTACGATCGCGAACGCAGCGGCGAGCTAACAAGAAATAAATATATTCACTTCGGCGTCGAGCTTATGAGCTTCTATTAGCATGTCATTAGGATGAATGTGAAATCAGCGGCGCGAAGAATTCAGAATAGCATCTCGTGTATACGGATAGCTTAGACGTGTACAATGCGCTCAGCGATGGCAAATCTGCATCTTAATGGACGCGCAAGTGCAGCGTGTGCGTGTTTATCATAAAGGAAACATTAAAAATTATGCATTGTTTATATTTAGAATTCATGTGTACATATTAATCATATAGTAAAACTGAAAATAGAAATTTTCATTTTTTTTTAATTTTTTTTTCTTTGGTGTAATTATTATTGCAACACTTCATCAACTATGATTCTTCCGGTTTCTATAACAACGAAAAATATTTGCTCTCATGCATAATCGTAATAAGAAAGAATGCGTTTTCGTTCGTGTCTGCGTTCGCATTTTTCGGTATTCAAATAATAATGGTGCGACAAGCGAGCGTGCGAAAAAATTTCACTTCCGACGTGCGCCGTTTGAATCGAATTTGAATTGACGCCGGCGTGTTCGAAACATAATTCCACTCGCGCGTCCCAAGAGAAATGCCAATGCTGCTACTGCTGCTGCTGCAGCGCAAGCCACCGAGGTCGTTAAATAATAAAAACGAAATAAAATCTGTTCACACCGAAGTCAACTTTAATCAACCTCGGCTTTTACTCGCGGGTAAAATGAGTTTTCGGTGCAATTGGATCAAAAAATTCACTTCTAATCATCGAATTAAACTTTTTAAATGATTTTAAATTATATCACCAGATATGTATATAAAATATTTTGTGAATTAAAGTCACAGCGATGGATTCCGATCACGACAGGTGATCGAAATCGATAGGATCAACTATTTCTGAGTGAAATTAAAAAGAAAGTCAGTCACAGGCTGTGTTTTTACGTGTATTTAATTTTATTTTTAAACTCTGCCTTTTAATTAGCTGGAGGATTGTTTCAGATGGTATTAAAATTTGGGGTAGCATATGGTCGGTTATTTTCTTTTTTTTCTCTTAAAATTTTCTGTGCGAAATTTGCACCGTATGTCAGAGAAAGTTTGATTGATATAAGTCAATTAAATCCAGAAATACAAGGAAAGTTTCTAGTGTTTTATCAATTCAATTTGTCAATTTATAAAAAAAAAGTATTTTGCGCTATTTTTAGTGAGCAGCAGCCTTTGCAGCGGTTTTTGTGCTGCACCGTTGGCAAATGCTCAGGCGCAAGCTCCACCCCATGACTAAAGCCCGTGACTAAAGTATTTTAGTCACCGCATTGGGCACCCGTGTGTAAAGTACCAGTTTTCTTGCCTCAAACCCGTAAAAAAAACAATTTTTTACGTGTTTTTACTGCTTAAACAGAATATTTTAATTAAAAATATTCAAAATATGATTCTGAGATGTCCGAATAAATCCTAGAAATTACCTGAAAGCGCATGTAAATTTATACCAACATCCATACATTCAATAAATTATAAAATACGAAGAATGTGCAATAGTAGCAGTTGAGAAAACAAGCAAGTGCAAGTACTCGTACATTTGCCTTCTAATACTCGTATTCCTCGCCCGCCGGCGTTCCGATTTTACTTCAGTCTTACACTTATAATCTACGAACGCACGCAGTGAAAGAAAACAAGCGTATGTGGGGATATGATATAATTTTCCAGCCCACGAATCGCATAAATTATTCCCGCTCGACATTGGCAGTGGCAACGCGCGACTAACACGTCGTATCGATGCAAATTAATTCTGTAATTCTACATGAGCACATGAACATGAACATTGGCACGTAAATATCATGTGTGCGCGCATGATGCCTGCCGGTTGAATTTAATATTTGAAATTAATTCAGCGTTTAATTGGTTTAGTTTTTAGAACTATCTTTCCACAAGCGTCAAGAGAAATATGTAACAGTAACTCTAATGTGTTCATCAAAATTTGTTTTTCTCCTTCTTGAAGGTAACATTTCGACATTTGGACAATGAATAGTACCATTTCATGCTTGGTACATAAACAAATCGCAATTTAATTTCAGTTGTGTGAAATTGCAAAATTATTAAACTAGTTTACATCGAATTTCTTAAGCATACATAACGCGCTTAAACGAAATGTAAATGATACAGTTTTTGGTCGGTGTTGTGTTGGTTTTTATTTTTTGTTATGATTGTTACTGTGTTTGTGTCGAAATCGTTAATTCGCTATGGTTAACTGCATTCGCGTAAACTTGAAATACTTTACACTAGTCACAATTACGCTCTTACGTTGGTTGCACCATGAGCACAAGTACGCGCCTGTTACGCTAGACCGGCAGGAATTAATTTCAACACGGCACAAAAATCCACGCGATGTGATTCCGACGACCGTTAGCTCATCCTCATTAGATTGCCGTGGATGATATGCGCGACGTCCGCACTCCTTGGTTATTATCATTACTTATTGTTGTTGATATGCGTATAGGCATTGTGTAAATTATTCAAAATTAAAAGGTTTAACCTTAACTTTGCGCTGCGTTACAATGCCAAACTTTTATTGCCCTCTGTGAATGAAATTAGAACTCTAATTTGCTACGGTGGTGATATTTCAGTAGAAAATACATAGTATCCTCATACCACGTTAGATGTCGCACAAGAGACACTTATTCAACGTTGCCACATCTGCATTTTGCACATAATAAGCTACCACAGCGCATTTTGAACTAATTTCGATCCTGAGCACTAAAAAAATCAAAGAAATAAAAATAGCAGCAAATTGTGAACTACAATCCGCGACGATTGTGCTATTTCTACTGAAATTCCTACTGCAAATATCGATATCTCGCAAAAAATTAAGGTATCCTACCCAAATGACACTTACTCAACGTTGCCACATCTTAATTTTACTACAACACCGCATATTGAACTGATTTTTACACTTAACACTCAAAAAACCCAAGAAATAAAGATAGTAGCTAAACGAGTATTTAACGTGTGGCTAGTGCGAAGCCTCAAAACCAACAATTACTTTCTTGCACTTACGCGCCTGCCTCCGTACATGACTTACTGCTGCGCCCGCGAACGTGATCAAGATGGGCGCATACGCGCCGCGCAACGCAGATGCGATGTTTATTTATTTTTCATTTTCTCATCTTCATCTTCATCTCCATGCGGCGACCACGACCGTAACTTGCGGTGGGTGTCATAACATCGATGGTTTAACAACCGCGTGCGCGCGGTTGCATCGCAAACTCGCGCGGCGGCGGCGTCTTTTCATTTGGCGCTCGTGCGCTACGTACTTAACTTAACGAACAATTATTTATCTCTTTATCTGTGACTGCTCACACTACTCACACCAATCCGCATTGTACACTCCTAATCGTGTCATGATACACCAACAACCAAAGCTTATTAAAAGTTTATTTTTTAAGTTTTTAATATTTTCACGCATAAAACGCATAAAAAGATGAGTTTTTATTAGATTTTACTCAAATGAAATTAAATTTTCTATTAGACATATGAATGACTGCATCTTGTGCGTACGGTAATGTCACGCGCCATGTCCAAACAGATTTGAGAATTATGAAACATGTCCCTGTCGTTTTTTCATCAGCATACGGTATGTCTTGTTTAATGTTGTCAACGGTCGTGACCACCACGTTCCATGTGTTTGATGGGCCTTACTAGTCGCGCGCCATTAATAGTCGTTGAATTAACGGCAGGTGCGACCAACTACTTGTTCATCCTTTTTTTTTTCATCATCCAACAACGTCATTTATACTTACAATTGTAAAATTAACAGTTTTACTTGTTAATCAGCTATTAATGTAAAGTTTTTCATTTTTTTCTTGCTAAAATAGCGGATTCTGCGATTAATTCGTATAAATGCACATTTCGCATGCAAGAAATCAGCGTGAACTTTCCAGCAGTCACTCACGTCACATTTTGGCAAGAAAAAACACTGACGGCGAAATTTTTCCGATGCCCTTTGAGTTTGCCGCCGTGGACCCGTCTCATATCGCCTGACAAGTTGATAGCACGATATCACATCAGTTCCGAAATGCCGTGTGCGCGCACAGCAGATGCCACCGAAGCGTTTTTCGCCCGCCAGCGGATTGAGATTTAAAAGTTTCGAGAAACTTCACGAAACTTTAATCAAATCGGATCCCACCGTTGAGATGAATGCATTAATTAATCGCCGCATAATTATAGGCATTATAATGGAACTGTATTAAAGACCAATATTATATAACAATCTTATTAT